CCAGAGGAGGGGGCAAAGGAGGTGGGGGCAGAAAGTGGAGACAAAAGCAGACGACAGTACATTATTAGAGAGCTGGAAAGGGGGTGAAAGGAGACATTTTTTTATCGTTATTAATTTATTATTATCACTATTATTATTATTATTATTATTATTATTGTGTGGAATGTTTTGACCAAGGAGTAGCTTTGTGAATTGTTGAACCTGTGCAGTAAGAACAAACACGCTGACAGACGTTCCCAGTTTGCGGGGTTTCTTTCGCCTTCCACCTCTGATGTACGTTTTTTTCCAACCCGTGAACTCTCCAGCAAAAAGTGACCATGTACTGGCCGGAGAACCTCAACGAATCCATCCAATACGAGGACGTTGTGGTGGAGATGACCAACTTCTCGCAACTCAACAAGTACATCATCCGCAACTTCCGCATCTCCATGGTAAGTTGTTGCCTCTCTTTTTTTCAAGCCTAAGTTTCTCTTAATATGTGTCACGATGCGGTGGAGTCAGGCGCTCATCAACTTTTGGGCATGTTGAGTTAATGGTATAATCTCAAAGCTTATTCATTTGTCTTGCATTTGATAAAAAAAATACCCATCTCTATCAAGAGTAAAAGTTGAGATATTTCTGATTCAAGAAGGTTGAGTCACCTGATTTCAGAGGTAAATTTATTACGAAAATAGCCGTCAAAGTGTGGTGATTTCCATAGCTTGAGAGTCCTTGGGAAATGTAAATCTACATTTTTTACGCCTTTAATGAAAGTTTTCCAATAAAATCCAGACAGAAAGTTGTTTTTAAATAGACATAAAAGGTGTTGAGACAAAAAACAAAAATTCGAAAAAAAATTGCGAGACAGGTGGAAAAATGCCGTTTTCTTTGATTTCATTATTTTGACGCGCGCCCTGATTTTGCCACGATGCCTGACATATGAAAACACATCGCATTTCTTTTTTAAAAATCTGTGTAAGAAAAAAAAAACTACACTTTTCTGTAACGTTATCTGACTGCTGGTTTTTTTATCTTTGGGTCATTCGTAATTAAGAAGTGGCATCATGTAATCTAAAACGTATTGTTAATTAAGACAGTGAGTCTGTATGGAGATTTTGCACTTTTGAGGTTGCGGCGTGTGGTTGGCTGGGGTTATAGTGTAGTCTAGGCTTTGTGCTTCCCGTGTTTGTAACTGTTGTCCTGTTGTGCACATGGCAGAATGTGGTTGGTATTTAAGCAAATAACAATCAACAACTAATCACATTTGAAGCTGTTCCCAGATTTTATGTTTACTTTCTTTCTTTGGAAACATCTTTTCAGTTTGTTAGTGTTTGGGCGCTTAATCAGCTGCTTGCACTGTATGCTTCCTGAGAAGCTGAAAATGTTTCTGAGTGTTCTATGGTCTGCTGGAGTTATAATATAGAGCTTGCTGTTGAGAGGGAATTTGTGCTATACAAATGCTATCTATTATTATTTTTTTTAAAATTATTACCACTATTATTATTATTATTGTTGTTGTTGTTGTTGTTGTTGTTGTTGTTGTTGTTGTTGTTGTTGCTGTTGTTGTTGCTTTTCTTGTTATGACTTCTAGTATTAATTATAAATGTAAGCAGAGAGCGTTCAAGTATGCCTGTGTTCAGCGCTCTTGGTTTTCTAGTTTGTTCATTTCCCCTGGTACAAAACGGGAAAAAATAGAATAAATCGATCGGCTCTTATTTATTGATTATTTTGTTTTGCTATCACTGGTGAACAAATGCACACTTCCAGCTCGCTGCTAGACGCAGTCATTCCTTGTGACATTTTTTTTTTTTAACTGTTGATCTAAGTAGACAAATAGCTACCCTAGAATTACAAAGTTCTGTCTGCTCAGTACCTTGTTTTGAGAAATTTGATGTTTAAAATTTTGAATTTCACAACATGTTAAGATTTTTTTAATGCAACTCGTTGAATATCTTGATAATGACTCTGAATAAACTTACGATTAAGATAGAGAAGATAGAACATTTGGCTTCTGACCTCATGATCTTACTCAAAACAGCTAAAAATGTCATATTCTAAGATGTCGAAATAGCTGGTTTAGGGCGCAATAAACATCGTCCTTATCTCCCCTCCTTGATTTCTTTGTATCTTACTCTCTAGTTGTATTACCTTTAATCTTCGGAAGTAACACATGATCTATTTGTGTTGGAAGAGCCGTCAAACTCTTACTACAGCTGAAACACCTACGCAGGCTGGGTTCGAGACTGTGTTTGTTAGCCCATAAATGGTGGTTGTTGCTACTGCGTGGACGGGAACATGAAATTTTTACAACAACCTTGATGAAACTTTTAGCAGGCTGGGATTGGTTTCCCATTGGTAATCATTCAACCGTCCTGTAAAAACACCAGCAGCTGATTGCTAGAAAATGAGAGCGTTTACTATCTGGAGTAAAGCGGAGTAAACAGTTGATCTATTAATTTTATTTTCTGTGCCGTGCAACAAACTGGGATGGGAAGGAATGGGGGCGTGAGGAAGGGGGGGGGAGGGGAATCAGGGAGGGGAATCAGGGAGGGGGAGAGGGGGGAGGGAGGTATATGTACCACCAATTGTGACAGAAAGTCGCGGGTGCCTGTAACTACAACGTAGAGAATAGAATTCTTCTCCTGGTGTTAGGTCTGAGGCACACTCTGATACCCCACTCCTCACTGTTGCTGTCTACATGATCAGTTCTGTTTTTCTCATTGTGTTTATTCATTGCAAAGAAAGTTGTTCCGGCTGTCTGTGTTTGTTGTTCTCTGTCTTCCCTTCCTCTGTTTGTTTTTTCTTTGCTCTATCTTTCCCCACAGCAGCAGTTCCTCAAGTCCATAATTTGATCTGTTTATGTGGTTAAAGAATCTCATTTCTCTTTCTGGTGGCTCTGATTACATGTGTATAGACCTTTGACAATCTGTTATTTGGGACGCTTCTCTATTTGTTTCCTTGTTCTTCTTAAATACCACATAATATTAAGTTTTAAATTCGTGTCATCACAACTGAGCGGTTAGACGGTCCCCGACTCACACATCCATGGTATCTGCAATTGGGAATGGCTACTGGCATGTAAGAATATTGAAAACCTCAAAAGAGTCCACGAACATTTAAATCTAGTCGGAAAGAAGTTCATTTGTCTTAAGACTAAGACAGCTAACTGTTTTAGGAGAGAGAAATTACTGTTTCATTCTTTTAACACTTGTACCTTTTTATGTATCTTTTCCTGCTTTTTTTTCAACACTTAAAATTTGACAAAGTATTTATCGAGCAATATGCAACCGATACCCGATACCACAGGGTAAGAAACTGCACTAGAAAAGAAAAAAATCAAAATTTTGGACTCAGTAATAATAATAACAATGCAGATCATTTTTATAGCGCTCACTGCTCACTTCCGTACAATACGACTCTGTGCACTTTGCAATACGTTCATATCAGCACAAAACACAAGTGAATGAATGTACACATATAGATTATTCTATTACACTCTTAAGATAAATGCTAACAAATAAGCGGACATTTCCACTATCACAGCAAATCAATGACGATATGCCCATCACATCATGAACATAAAAGTACTCTAGAGTAATAAGGGCTGACAATCAAAATGGCGTTTCGTAAGGTATGCTTTCAAATCATTAATTTTCACATTTCACCTCAGACTTTGTATTCCTCTAACGTTGTGGGAGAGAGTTCATCTGAACAACCTGCCGATGATTTCACTTTGGAATTCCAGAACCACGCCCACGTCAGTTTTAGTTGCGCGTCCCCTTTGGCGTCATCGGAGAGAAAGCCAACAGTTTAGAGAGGGCGCAGATGAGTCACATGATGTGTCCTTTGACGTGTGGTGTTCGCAGTCACAGAACCTGGCTTGTAGTCAGGGTCGGCCAATGGATAATGCCTCTTAGGTAAGTCCGTATTCTAGCACTTCTCTCCATAATGGTAATAATGATAATGAAAATGATAATGATAATGACAATGCTAATGAAGATGATAATGATGATGATGATGATGATAATAATAATAATGATAAT